TAGTGGGATACTTTGTCACTTGAGTTGATGTGTGACTTGGGAACTTAGATTTAATGTGGCTCAGAGACTTAAAAATGTACTTGTTTACTGACACTGATGTGTGACGGGAACTTAGATTTAATGTGGCTCAGAGACTTTACTTGTGACTGATGTGGCTCACTTGTACTGACGGACTTTAGATGTGGCTTCTTTGCTTAGGAACTATTTAATGATTTGTATTGCTGCCGATGTGTGACTCTTACTCAGAGACTTAAAAATGTATCTGACGTACTGACCTTGATTTAATGTGGCTCAGAGACTTTAAAATATACTTGTTGAATAACTCGCACTGATTTGTGAAATATAGGAATATTAAACGATTTAGTGACGCATTATTATAAAAAAAGTAAGTCACCCGATCTATCACAAGCGACGCATTCTCAACTGCAACAAAAAACATAAAGCTTAAAATGCCGCTTCAACCCAAAGCTTGAGCCTCGAACATAGTGCTATACCGCACTATTTTCGCACTATTTTCTCGGATATTTGCTCACCGCCATTTCTTTTCTTTCTTTTTTTCTTTTTTCTTTTTTTATAATAATTCTCTCGCTCGCTATTGTTGTTGTTTTCGTAATATTTGCCTATCTTTGATATCGGATGAATAATGCTATCTTGCCATATTTTTTGTCGCATGTGTGAATATTCTCTCTTTCTCTGTCTCTGTCTGTCTGTCTGTCTCTCTCTCTCTGTGTCTGTCTGTCTGTGTCTGTGTCTCCCTCTTCCTTTCCTCTACCTCCCCTCCATCTCCATTCCCCCTCTCCCCTCTCCCCCTCTCCCTCTCCTCTCTCCCTCTCCCCTCCCCCTCCATCTCCCCTTCCCTCTCTCCTGTCATCCTCCTGGTCGATATATTTCAACTCGTCTCTACACGACATTTTTTGGCCTCCATACTTTTTTAATATCTCGCCACACGCCATACCGATATATTGCATCCGGAGCCAATATTTTCTTTTCGTTTCTTTCCCTCCACTTTTCCTGTTAACAGCAGTCACACAATGGGCTGTAATTTGAAGTGGAACGGTTCGTATGAGGATTTTAATATACACGAGCGAGAGGAAAATAGAGATGATGATGATGAGAGAGAGAGAGAGAGAGAGAGAGAGAGAGAGAGAGAGAGAGAGAGAGAGAGAGAGAGAGAGAGAGAGAGAGAGAGAGAGAGAGAGAGAGAGAGAGAGAGAACGAACTTCGTTATCAAATGGAACGAGTTCGCTAACAAGTTCTGTTGCCTTCTTATATTGCTGTGTGTATTTGGTTACATACATACATACACAAATGCATACATGCACGTATACATATATGCATACATACAAGCATGAATATATAGATACAGACAGACAGACATTCGTATACACGTATAATCATACATATTTTAATTCATATATAGGATTCATTCAGTATACTTGTATTTGTTTGATAGATGGATACACAGATACACACACACACACACACACATACTCACACACACACACACACACATACTCACACACACACATACACACACACGAACACATACAGACACAAACGTACACACACACACTCACAGATATATATTTCCATATCCATATCCATTGACTCTAGCAACACGCACATAACCGCCGCCCTTGACAAGGCCTTGCTAACCCGGCCTCTCTCTCCCTTCAGATAACACGTTCCTGCTGCAGAAGGAGGACTACTTCCAGGTCGATGACAGTCTTATGAATTACGTCTACACTTCCCACCAGGTGAGTCCCCCGGCCGGATACGCGCCCCCGGAGGCACGAGCGAGTGCGCGGATGCCGAGGCGTGGGCGCGAAGTGTCCGTTCGTACGCCCATGCCGTGTGCAACTCCTTAGCTCCTCCATTCACACCGTGTGCACCTCCTGGCCCGTTCTGCATACGCCCAGGCCCTTTACGAGCACCTTTATTTCCGTTCGCCAATCATGCTGGAACGAGCGGCCCATCAATCCGGCGGCGAGGGAGCGAGCCAGGCCGACGAGGGGGACGCCGACGCCGACTCCACGCCCCTAGACCCCCGCCCCCCCCCTAGACCTCCTTCCTCGTCGGACGCGCGGCCGCGGATCGACTCCCTCGCCCGCCCGACGGACATCGCGGGTCGCGGACGGATGCGGGAGCTGGTGGACCTGTCGCCGCCTCCGGTTCGCCTCCTCTTCCGGGGATCTTCGGCGGGGGATATTTGCGCGGAGAGAAGGTGGCGTGGAGAGAAATAATACAAATAGATTGGCAGGGAGAGATAGATAAAGAGAGAGAGAGAGGGAGGAAGGGAGGGAGACACAGACAGAAAGGTAAACCGACACACAACGGAATGAATGAAAAAAAAAAAAAAAAAAAACGAGAGCACGAGAAGGGAAACAAAAGAAAAAAATATGAGAAAAAAAAACACGGAAGACAGAAATGCAACCACCCCAAAGTCACCACCACCTGTCCAATCCCCGGTCACCCGTGCCATAAATACATCAACACCTGATTAAGTGAGAGCCGGGGAAGCCTTTCGTGGGAACACCAGTGCCACTCTGGGCGCCTCCCCTCACCCCCTCACCCCCCACCCGGCACATCAATCTGCCTGGATTCTTGAGCTAAAAGGAAAGAGATATAAAGCGCAAGGAAGACGAGACTGCCAAAGAAGGGAATGGAGAAAAAGAGAGTGTGATACGGGGGGAGGGAGGGAGGGAGGAGAGAGTGAGAGGGGGAGGGAGGGAGGAGGGAGAGAGAGAGAGAGAAGAGATAGATAGAAAATAGCAACAGAGAGACAGAAAAAGAATGTCCTCTCTCTCAGTCTCTCTCTCTCTCTCTCTCTCTCTCTCTCTCTCTCTCTCTCTCTCTCTCTCTCTCTCTCTCTCTCTCTCTCTCTCTCTCTCTCTCCTCTCTCTCTCTCCCGTTATCCCCTTTGTTTCTTCACACCCTACACTTCCTTCCTCTTCCTCTTCCTCTTCCCCTCCTCCCTCTTCCCCTCTGCCTCTCCTCCCCTCTTCTCGTCTCCGTGTCCCTCCTCCTCCTCCTCCTCTCCCTCCTCCTCGTCTCCCTCCTCCTGTCCCCTCCTCCTCCTCCTCGTCTCCGTGTCCCTCCTCCTCTGTCCTCCTCCCTCCTCATTTGGCCTTTCATGGCGTCTCATTTGTTTGAGTTTCCCTTAACGACGGTGTCTTCGATCGCTTGATTCACCTGGATATCGCGCGAGATATCCCAGCCTGCGTCCGGTCTTCGAGGGGACCTTGCGAGGGAACCTTGCGAGGGGAACCTTGCGAGGGAACCTTTCGGGGGACCTTGCAGGACCTTCGAGGAGCGCGAGAGGAACCTTGCGAGGGGAACCTTTCGAAGGGGGAACCTTGCGAGGGTTTCGAGGACCTTTCGAGGGGACCTCGAGGGAACCTTTCGAGGAGCCTTGCGGGGGAACCTTTCGAGGGGAACCTTTCGAGGGGACCTTTCGAGGGACCTTTCGAGGGGACCTTGCGAGGGGAGCCTTTCGAGGGGACCTTGCGAGGGGAAACCTTTCGAGGGGGCGCCTTTCGAGCCCTTGCGAGGGAACGTTTCGAGGGGAACCTTTCGAGGGACCTTCGAGGGACCTTGCGAGGAACCTTTCGAGGGGGGGACCTTGCGAGGGGGAACCTTTCGAGGGGGAGGAACCTTTCGACGAGGGGAACCTTGCGGGGACCTTGCGAGGGGAACCTTTCGAGGGAGGGACCTTTCGAGGGGGACCTTGCGAGGGGAACCTTTCGGGGGACCTTTCGAGAGGACCTTGGGGAGCGAGGGGGAACCTTTCGGGGACCTGTGATGGGAACTTTACTGCAGGAACCTTGCGAGTATTGCATTATAATTAGTCTCTGAATTCCTTTATACCGTCCCTTTATTCATTGGCGATAAGAAAGGGAGAATGATGGTAACAACTACAATAGGAATAAGAATAAATAGATAAAAAGAATGAGCAATAAATGATGCTAGTAACTCTTACTCATTATGCTGTCAGTGCGGGTAATATCTGGAATGATAATAGCAGGTTTTTTATTGTGATTTGTATAATCATGAAAACTTTAGGTTTTAGGCGAAAAAAGCATACACCAAATTTGTCAGCTACTACAATGAAAAGGAAAAACGAACAAAAAGAAAAAGAAAAAAAAAAAAAAAACAAAAGGAAAAGAAAAAGGGGAAAAAAAGAAACAAAAAAAAACAGGCAAAACAAAAAGGAAAAGGAAAAAGAAAAAAAAAAAAACACAAAACAAAAAAACAAAAATGAAAAACAAACAGACTCACGACCGAAAAAAAGACAGCCAACCTCCACCGACCCAAAAACAAAGCCGAGTGACAATCGAGCGCCTTTCGGCCCAGCGGCATCAAGGCTAATGAACTCTCGCGGATGTGAATGGCGACACGCGGGGCGAGTCCCCTTCATGCCACAACACCGGCTTGAGCCCTTGAGTGCCCAGCGAGCGAGGAGGAACGCGAGGTGTAAAGTCGCGGCTAATCACACGGTCCATCGCGACGCTCCGGTTTTGAGTTACGGCGCGGAAGGGAGGGGGCGGCCGTCCCTCGCCTCGGGGCGCGGAGAGGAGCGCCAGCCGCGCCCCCTGCCGTCGCAACACGCGTTCCCCCGGGGAGACAAGGTGCCAGTCACTGCCACAGGCCTACGGACACGTACGTGCACACACACACACACACACACATACACGCACACACGCACACACAGACACACACGCACACACAAACACTCGCATACTCGTACACACACGCGCACACACACACACACACACACACACACACACACACACACACACACACACACACACACACACACACACACACACACACACACCACACAAACACCCCCCACACACAACACACACACACACACACACACACACAAACACCCCCACACACACACACCACAAACACCCCCCCCACACACACACACCCTCGGCCGCCCCCGCAGCGCCCCCGGCTGCCTCCTCTCCGAGAGCCACGCTTTACGGCCTCGC